GATAATGTCCACTTCACAAAAGGATCAAAATCCTTTTCCCGAATCCTGGAACTGTTCTACCAGTTGCTCTGTTGAGAAGTCTGCAATGCCCAAGCCAATCCTCTCCCTACGTGAATGATGAAGGGGTGGTGGTACTCGTTGATGTGAAGCTAAACGATTTATAAGATAGTATATTTTTGCTTTTTCTTTTCTATTTTAAAAAATCCAATTTGCTCCAAGAAGAGTGTGAGCTGAGCAGATGGTGAAAAGGAGGTGATAGCGAATCTGAAAGGAATCTTGGTCTAAACGGCGACTTTGAGAGGGGGCGAAGGAGTGTATATACAGTCAGGGGCTGTAAGAAGTGTTCTAACGCAAGAACATATGGTCAGTCGTGTGCAGAGCTTCGTCTCTACCGATCAGGTGACTACGTCGAAATACAACAATAAGAGCACAAAATACACAAAAAACACTGAACAAAGCTTACAACGAACAGCACCGACTAATATGCTCCAATTCGTGAAAGAAGCCTCGGAGAGAAGGGTGTTTCTCACATATACTCATAAAAACTCAGAATGGGGAGGCCTCCGAAAATATCGCTCAACTGTTCACAATTTTAGTGCCATTACACTCAACGGCTCCAAAAAGCAGCAGAAACTCAAGTCTGAGGCTCTGTAAAAGAAGGTTCACGAACACCATGAACCCGACACAAGTTTAAAACCTAGAGAAAACGCCACATAGCAAGGGGTAAACTTTCCAATTTGACACTTTCTGCTCACGCCTCCAAACCCCAAGCACACAATACATTCCACAACCCTTGGAAGCCTGCAAATGATCGCAACTGATTAAAAACATCCCAACGCCACCGGATACTCGACTTCCACTCCTCGCCCTTGCCCCCGATGCCTCACGCACCCACGGCCCCGAAACATTCTCCCTGTAGTTGACCGATAAACCCCAGAAACATCGCGAGGCCCAGAGCGAGGCACAGATTCACCGAGCTGTATTACCAAGTACCTTACAGGAAGGAGGAGGAGAAGAAGAAGAAGGTTGAGGTGGAGAAGACCCGAGGCGGTATACTGCGGGAGGCGATCCAGGAAGCAGGCTTCCAGCAATGGCGGAGAAAGGCGGAGCAGGGCAGGGCGGAGCAACGAGGCGCAGGGCGGAGCAACGAGGCGCATGGCGGCACTCCGCCCCATCGGTATCTTGACCACCCCTTGCCCTGCGACCCCCGGCGCTGCCACGCGGTTCCGATCCGTGCCTTACTGCTTGCTTCGGCACTGTCACCCTGTTCCCGCAAGAATCGCCTACTTCGATCGCCCCGCATCACAGTATCTATGTGGCTGCTCAATCTGCTGAGTTGGACTCGTAGATTCCGGATGTTAACGCCACCGTTCGAGGGACGGTGATACATACAGTTACCTAACCTATCACCAGAGCAAGTTGCTTGCTACGTAGACTCAACAACATTCATGGTCCTACCACTGTCATCCTGCCCTATGCCCACGCTTCCAACCCCACTGAATCTACAACCAACTTCATCCATAGCTCTCATCATTAAAACACATTTTAAATGACACTTACTTATATGTAATTTTTAAAAAATCATAGTTCTTTATATATATATACACTAAAAAAAACTAATTTAGCAAGTTACATGATTGTTAGAGTCATTTAGCAACTAAATCATTTATTGCTATTAAAGTATTTCATGACGTATAATATTAGTTATATATTTTTCTATATGTGCAATAAATAAAGACATCCACAATGCATGTGGTGTATAAAAAAATAATGTAAAGCTTACCATGGATAAACATTAGATCATAAAGGTGTACGCTAATTATACCCAAAGTTTATACTTGAGCTTTATTGACTATTATTATCAAAGCCAATTGAATTGGAAATTGATATTGAATAATCATGAAAGGACATCTATTCTCTTGTAACTTATTCATTATTTGTGGAATGTTTATTCACTCACTTATATGAGCTCCGTCAAGAATCTTAGAGTATCACAAATATACATACATACTCTAATAAATATCTATATGATTACATAGAAGTAGATAAAAATAAAAGTAGATAAAAATAAAATAATTTCATAATATCTTCTAAAATAGCTTCCTAAAAGCTTCATAGATGTTGCTTTAACTTTGTATGTATTTGTAGTTGATTAATAAGTTTAAAACTTCATCAACAAGTTAACTATGTCGTACACACATAGAAAACTTGCCTTGCAACTTAAGATATGTGTCTTCAAAAGTCAATACATTTTAGAGGTCATATACAACATTGCCACGTAGCTTCTGATTAAGAATAAATATAGAGGCAAAAATAAAGACTTCTTCACTCTTATTAATGCCATTCGAGTCCTTGGTCTTATTTCAAATCTTTATAGTTTTCTTATTTTTAGCAATAATCATTCTAATTCAATACCATTTTATCTTTGAAAGACTTTTTATTTCTTGTTAATAACATAAGAATGTATTAAATATTTCTTTCTTTGAGATTTATGTCCTTGATAGTTTGACAAGAGTACTACTTTACTATTATTATCTTATTTTAGAAGTAAGTGAATTATTTCATTTTTATTATTATATTTTGAAGGTTCCAAACTACCTACTTTTAAATAAATAATCTTATTTTTTAGTATTAATCTTTTTTTAAAGAAAGTGAATTATCTCTCTTTGTGGAAATTTTTATTTAATATTGGAGGATACAAATTATCCTCCTTTAATTTAAATTTTTGAATTTGTTTGATTTTTCTAAGAAAAAAGATTGTGGATGCAACTCTTAGCAAAAGTGAGAATAGATTTGCAACTATTGCTAATCTTCATGAACTTCTCAATACTCTAAGAATAAAAATCTCACGTACTTTCAATATGAATCATAGAAATACTATTCCTACACCTATGAAAGAAGTTCAAAGTCTGTAGCAAGAAATTGTGTAATTGAAGAAAGCAAGTATATCAACATCACAACCAAATCTAAAGAGTTTTACTTTTATAAATAAGGTAGGAAAAAAAATTTAGTATGCTTGAGAAGTTTAATGGAATAAGATTAAAATTTTGAAGATTTTTTCAATAAGTCAAGCTCTATATAAAGTTGTATCCCTTCTAATATCCTAATGAATTTACTCAAGTCAAATTCATAGGCGCACTTCTATCAAGAAGTACTTTATCTTAATTTGTACGATTAATAGAAAACAATTTGTGGCTCCTTTATGTTTCAAATTCATTTCTAGAAGTGTTTACGATCACATTTAGAAAAAATGATTGAAAAACACATAGCAGAAATCAAATTCTTATCTTTACGATAAGGATGATGGTCAACCACTATACATACTGCTGAATTCTAAAACTTAGCTTGCAATATGGACTAGAATGATAAAATCCTTATTAATCAACTTTGATATGCGTTAAAGGATAATGTCAAAAATTTATTATTGAAAATGCCAAAGGTAAAATCTTTGGAACAATTTATTGCTGAAGCCATTGCATACAACAGTTGATTATTTAAAAGACATCAAGAATAAAGACTTCGGTAAAGAAGAACAAATTAAATAATGATGGTAGCTTTCAACTTTTTAGAAACACATTCATGAATGCTAGAACCAATACAAATAGATATGGTACATTTTAAATTTCTTATGGAGCAGGAAAAGACTTGATGACGTCAAGAAGGCTTATGCTTATATTTTAGAGAAGCTAAACACATTGCTTAATATTATCTGAAGAAACAACGCAACTACAAAATGAGAAGCATCATTGCCAAAGAAGACAATGTGTAAAAATATTAGTTTCTCCAACTACAATAAAGATTATCCAAGTAGAATCTTATGTAACTCCTAGTAAAGGTCTTATTCTCTCTTTAGATCCTTCACCTTATTTTACAATAAAAGTTTATTTGGAACCAAAAAATCACAAAGTCTTAGCTTTGTTAGATTCAAAAGCCTTAGCCTCTTTTACAAATAAAGATTTTGTCAAAAATTAAAAGATATCTTTACCAAAAAAACTAAATCTGTACATATAAAAGTCATTGATAGTTGTTTGCTATCTTTTGGAGATGTTACATATGAGATTGTTCCTTTAGATGTAATAATTAAAGATCATAATAGTATAGTAATATTTAATATAATAAAATTTCTATCTAATCTGATTATTTTAGGATTATCTTAGTTAGAAAAGTATAATCTTCAAATAGATTGAATTTTTTGTAATCCTTTATTTTTGATAGTTTAATCCAAAAATCCATTAATTAAGTAGAAATACATAAGTCTAGTACATCCAAATTCTTATTGATAGGTGCAAGAGCTTTTGTGCACATTGCAAAAGAAAGGCCATCTTTTGCTTTATATGCCATGCTTATTTCTGATGGTGAGAAGATGTCAAGTGGTATTCTTAGCTAATACTAAGATTTTAAAGACGTTTTTAAAAAAAAATGGAGATATTCTTTTAAAACATTGTCGTTATGATTGTTCTATCAAACTTCAATAAAGAACTCAATTATCATTTAGATCAATCTATAGCCTATTACAAAATAAGTTGGTTGTATTCAAAGAATATATTAATAAAAACCTAGCTAAGAATTTCATATACTATTCTAAATCTCTAATTGAGGCTTGTATCTTATTTGTGAAGAAAAAAAGATGAATCTCTGCAAATGTATATGGACTATAGAAGATTCAACAACATCACCAACAAGAATAGGTATCCTTTACCTTTGATTTTAAGACTGTTTGATCAACTAAATCAAGCAAAGAT